GACATGAAGCTGTATTGAAGCTCTATTTTTTTGTCAAATTAATTAAGTCCATTTCCATAAATTTTAACATTGCATTTAACTTGAGTTCATTTCAGTGTAACAAATTAAATGACACCAATGTTATTGTTTGTAATGTCTGACATTACTGAGCTACTTCAAACAGGAACAAACATTTGTTGAGTAACTACTTTTACTTATGATTTATTCCAAACACTGAGTGGAACAGCCGCATTCTGATTAGTGTCACTGCCTTCTTCTGTGTGAGTAGGAAATATCCCTGAACAGTGACAGTGTTGCACATCATAATGTTCACATAAAAAATGTTTTTACGTGAGTATGTGGAATTATACCCCGTGTTTACATAGGTTTCCTCCAGGTGCTCCGGTTTAAAAAAAAAACATGTACAATAAAAACATATACAATAATTCAATGAGTGTGTTTGTGTTTGTGAGTGCGATTGTGGGACAACGGGTGGAAATTAGCCCAAGGCTACAATCCAGAGAGGTGTATTCATTAACATACACTGTCCCAACCAAATGAACAATAATAATAAACTATAAAAAAAATAAAGACCTGTGTGGGTTGTGTTTCTTGACATAAATCTTTGGTTGTTTTGGATCCTTTTGGTCATTTCTCAAAGAAACAGTGAAGTCTGAGACACATTTATTTGGTAGGGAATCAAATCTATTACTATATTTAAAAAAAGGGGGGGGGGGGGGGGGGGTTTATTACAACCTCAAAACTATGATGTGGATTGGCTTGCATCTCCACAAACCTGGATCCGAGAGCCTCATCCTTTTTTTTTTCTCCATGGAATATCTACAGTAGTCCCTAAAGGGACCAGAATAAGGTATGCTTTGTTTTTTGTTATTCACATTTTAAAGCAGGCTAATGTGGGGGTTGAAAGCTTTAATAATCCACCGCTCACTGTCTGAAACCAAGGGAAGAAAACAAAACAATAACCATATAATATCATAAGTGTCTCTTTCAGAAAAAAAATATTCCAAAGTGGAGCCTGAGCAGTCGGCACCGTGGAGAAAGAGCGCCCTCTGGCGTGTGAACTGCAGAGGTGACGGGGTGACTCTTCAGCAGCCTCAACATTTTCGTCAAATAATCTAAACTTGAGACGGGAATATAGGCCGGTATTTAGTATACAACTGCAGATTGTAATATCTTGTAAATAATTACATATAATTGCAACAATTCCCCCAATATACACTTAAAGCTACAGTGCGTCACATTTCATAAAAAAAAAGAAAAGAAAAAAAGAATATTTTTTCTGCACTGGAGCTATGAATGAGCTTACGTCTCCACAAACAGTGTGGTGACGTTAAGTTAATGAAAGTTATGTAGTGTTAATTTAAATAAAGTAATCATAAAAAGCTGGAATTGATTGCATTTTGTGAGAAAAAAAACAATCATACAAGTCAATTTTCCGAAAGCATTTTAAATTCATTTTATTATTTTATAGCTAATTTACAACAAGCGCTTCACTGAACTGGAACATTTTATTTTGCTTGATATTGTTCATTGTTAAATATATCTTTCTCTTCAGCTGATTTTGTTGTAACTTTTCGTAATTAGTCTTTTCTGTAAAAATTCATATATTTGATAAGGAATATCACACTATGATATGGATGGCTGAGAGAGAGATAATACGAAATACAAAGAACTCTTCAAAAATTAAAATAAAAAAAACATAGTAATCCATTGATAAAGGTGACGTGTCGGTGTAAGTTATGTTGTGACAGTGTGCACAGTGTGGGCGAGTGTGGAGTTATTCACTGGCCTCACGTCCTTCTATCTCTCAGCAAATCCACTCACTTTTATATACAGCAATTCTGACCTTCTGCCTGATGAAAAAATACAAAAGTATACATACTTAGGATGAAACAAGTGACACTTTTAAATAAATAAATAAAAATTATGTCCATTCACAATCTCCAGCTCAGTCAATGTTGGCTGAAGTGAAACAAGTAAATATGAATATGAATGATCACTTTGAGTTAACACTGCCAGCTTATAATTCAAAATAATAAATACAAACACATGCTCAAGAACTGTGGACACTCTTTACCTTAGAATCTGTGGAGAACACAGACAGTCAAAGAATGTGCCACTAAACTAGAGAACTCATGTCAAATACAGAGTAACTTTGCACGTCATATTGCAATGCAGTAAAAAAAAAAAAAAAAAGCCAAAATCAAGTACATCAACTCCTTCACGTAGCCCCCACCTTTGCATAGGCTATATGAAGCAAATCAGGAAAACATTGCATATAGTAGCCCTAATTTGATATATATTTATTCTGAAAAACATCAGATCAAGCTGAATTCCTCCAGGACAAACAAGAAGAGTTTCCATACAATTGAATGGCACTGTTCTTTGACTATCTGTGGTCAAAACCTGTAGCATATAAATACCTCTCAGTGCAAACATTATAAATACAGTATTCATCTTCATAAATCCATCTTCATTGCATAACATCATAGCAGTATTGCACTACATCTGTGCGTGTCTCACTCACACACACTCACGTCCTTTAGTTTGTACACAATAACCATGTGGATGTTACAGGACAGATATTGTTCATTTATATACTTTTGGACAGTTCCCTGTCACCCGCACATACAAGCACAAGTGTTGACTTCAGATCCACGTGGACTAATATGTCGAGCTTTAGTGAGGGCGGCTCCACAAGAATTCATATTTCTCTGTGGCTTTCTGCTGCAACATTAAGATGAGAATGTGAGTTAAGTTAACAACCAAACTACATTTTGACCAAAATAAATTTGTGGGATATAATTTGGAAGTGTTGATCTTTATAGATGCAGTCCCCTTACAAATAGGCATAAAAAAGATATATATATATATTTCTATATATATATTTATATATATAGGCCATTTACTCAGAAAGCATGATCTAGCTTTAATTTTTGTGGACATTATAGAGGGAAAATCAGGAGAGGAAAGTGGAAGCGAGAGAATAAAAGACCTGTCCCTCTCACACAGAGGACTCCATCACACCACACAACCACAGGCTTCGCTTTGAAGGGGGCAAAAGTACAGCATCCAAAATATTGTACATTTACTTCGGTAAACGTATTTATTACCTCTTTATCTTTCAACAGTTTAGTCATAGAGATAGTGCTTTATTGGGATTTCTAAGCTGAGTAAATGTGCTGTTTTTCATGCAATGCAATAATAACAGCAATGCGATAGAATTATTTGAAATTTGATCAACTGTTATTTAGATTTGAGTTCAAAGAATCTCTCAAACGTGTGGTTTATAATACACACTGCTTCAAAGTCTTGTTGTACTGTGTCCCCTCCAAAGTGAGCTGACAGTCTTGTCAAATGCACACACACACACAAATGCCATGGCTTTTACAGAGTATGTTCTGTCCAGAGAGGAGCAGGGCACTGGCTCAGGAGATCTGCAGCGGAGGAGTGGCTGTGGAGGCATGTCACATTAAGCACTCATTTCATTGGTTTGTTAGAGTTTGGGCTAAATCATTGCTTTGCACCTTTCATTTGAGAAACAATGGACCAAATCATGTATGATGTTATAGATGCTACCATACTTCTTAAGTGTTGTATTGTGCTACGTATCTATAATGGGGGACATTTATTTTTAGGTTACAAAGGCATATATTCAATATACATTTGTTTGTTAAATATAGTTCCTCATTGTGACAGGCCTTTGGGCAGTGGGAGTGGTGCATGTCTGCAGATGAAGCAGGAGGGGGCAGTGACTGTGGTGCTGCTTGTGCCTAGAGAGATAACATTCATCCCCCTCAGAGGAGTGTGCCTGGATACAGCTGAGGTTATAGTCATATATATGTGAGTGTGTTTGTGATGGCAGAGGCTAAACTATGTGCCAGAGCATCTACAGTACTCAGAAGTATACAAGAATGGCCTCATGGTTTGATTTCACATTGCTTCAAATCGTCCTTTCTAAGACATGCTCTAAAACGTTTCTTCAATATTGCAGAGAAGAAAGTGCATCTTTTTCTCGATGTAATTTTAGCATTTTTTTCCCTGCCTCCATCTTATGTGAAATGCATGCACAAATTAAGCATATTTCTCTATTGTTATTTAAACTGCTTTGAAGCAATGCTTTACAGTAACTTGAGTGAATCCTTGTTTTGTAAAGCCAGTAGTGGTCTATGTGAACCAATATAAAAGGGCTAAACAGCGCCTCCTGGTGGAAACGCAATGACAGAACAGGATTTATTGCCCAATGGGACAACCCTCTTCCCATCCTGTGACAAGGCAGAGCTGGCAGGAGGATGACACAATGTCAAGATACTGTGATAAAAAAGGGGGCCAGAGTCTTGTTGGGCACCACTATCATTGATCAAGAAGATTAAGGAGACCTTGTGACTCAAGTTCAGCACTGGAAGGTCACTCTTTACAGTACGTCTCTAGCCCTGCTTACACCTAGAACACCATTTAGGAAGTGGAGTGTTCACAGAAGGCATCAAATGTTCTCACGTATCTTTAGAATGTACTTTTACACTCAACATTTTCCGAAATGCTCCTACCTCTTTAAATAGGTGGCATCAATTTAAGTGTACAGTCCCTAACACAGACATTAACGAATTGTTTGGCATTTCTAAATATGAATATGTTGATTATGTTTTATTTCCCATTTTATCAGTGGTACTTTAGGATATCCACTTGATGCATTTTAAAGCAGAGTGTGAACAGGGTCTCGAAGCTCAGCCACGCCTCATTGAACCGTAATATTGAAGTCTTCTCTCAGTCTGTAATTACACATGATGACTCAGTCCACTTTAGTTTTGGTATCGTTCTCTGCTTCCCTGTGGTCGACTCTCTCTCTTTCTTACAATTTTGTCTTGATATGCTTGGTTTGTCTGTGTCACTCTCAGTGATTGCCTAAGCACTGACTTTGCTGGAGGACAGCAGGACAGGGACTGTCCCGGCTGTGAGGATGACAGGTGGAGCAGGACAGCGTTGGTGGGGGGCGCAATGGTTCACAGCCTCTCCCGAGTGGGGATCCAGATGTAAGGCCCTGATTGCTCCTCAATCACTGTCTTTACTCTGTGATAGACCTCCTCAAAGCTGTCACCCTCCACCACAGCTGCAGCGAGGCGTGAAAAGAGAAAAAACAACGATGAGCAGCAGAGAAACACAGCAGAAAGATGCAACCGCAAGGATTTTTGTAATGTGATAAATGGGTGGAATGAATTGGTTTCAGTCCCTTTATGTCTTTAATGGAATGATACTAAAACATACATGTTTGCTTGTTAATGATTCAAACTGTTATAACGTTGGCAACAATGCTTTCTGTAAATAGTCTCTGAATGATCCTGTTCAGTTCTGCTGAACTGGAACGTGTCATACACCTGACAGTAGGGCTGCATGAACAATCACAATCAAAATGAAATGACAAGTTTGTGGTCGCAACTAACACAAACTACAATTCTTTGAGTTCTTTACAAACGTAAATGGACTGATGATAAGCAGAAAATCACTCTTTGTTTGCTTATTCCACATTTAATTTTTAAATTTTAGGTCTGACTATGAGCATTTCTTGTGAAAAGATAACAATTACTTAATTCAAAGGTTTATATATATTTTTCACTTTTGCAGTGATTCTACTAGAAAGAAAAGTTGTTCTATAGTTTAGAACTCTTTAAACATTTCACTCTTTTAAAAGACAGAATATTGCAATTTTGGTCAGAAATATTGCATATTTTTTCTAAATTGCGCAACTCTACCTGCCAAAGCCAATGAAGAAAGCTGATTTTAGCACACGCACCTGTAAAACACTCGAGGAAGTCCTGTTCTAGTTTTAGGGCTCGGTCCATTCCTTTCCTTGCTTGTTCTTCTGTAAGTCGAGTGTTGATCTCCCTGTTAAACACATATTCAGCAGTGAAGTAACGTGTGCAAAATGTTTACATATATTTACTAACAAGATTGTGACATACAACACATTCTCTAGAGACTTGGGCCGAACAAAGATGGCGATTGGATGAAGCTGAGCTGCTTGTAGTCTGCGCACAGCGTTGGCCGATACATCCAGGATGCAGTGTTTCCCTTGCTATTTGTTAGAAAACACAAAATATAAGCAATTATATCTTGCCAGGGCTTTTTAATGAGATTGATTTAGCACTTGTGTATGAATCACACCTGCTCTGCCACCTCACGCACGCTCTGGACGCTGGTGCCGTACAAGTGACTGTTGTACTGTCCCGCCTCGATGAAGCGGTGGCTCTGAATGTCCTTCTCCATCTGTTCCCGTGACGATACAAAGTGATAGTCCCGCCCATCCACCTCGTACTCCCTCTTGGGTCGCGTTGTGTCTGTCAAGACAAGCGACAACTCTTTAGAGAGCTCAAGACAGAAGCTTGGGGATTGGAAGAGTTTGGAGAGCGCAGCACTTACGTGGGACACATGATCCAAACTTATCAGGGAACTCAGACAAGAGGTCGTCATTCACCCTGTCTTTAACAGGACCCAGAATGATGATGGGCCTGGCGTAATGGACTGAGCAGTTTCAAAAATAACAATAGAGGAACATTTAGAAGGAGCTCCAAAGACTTGTAACAATATTGTTTTTCATATTGAGCTCACCTTCTACTTGAGTGACAGTCTCATAGCTTTGTGAGATCTTATCTCTCCCTGCTGAAGACACAAGTATATTTCTGTTACTACTGTTTGTAATACATCATTTCAGTTTTAAATGAAAAAAGTGCATGGGTATGAATACTTTCAAACTACTGTGGCTATACAAACATGTACTGTATACACAAACAAATATGAAATCCGATATTAAGTATTTAATATGAATGAAATTACCTTGAGGGCCCAAACTGTCCCGTCCATGGTCCTGCAGGAGAAAAAACGTAATTAAATTTGTTTAAAGATTTAAACAAAAATATTTCATAAGTAAGAAATAATTTACCCTCTCTTTGGTGTTAACACGAGACCACTCTTTTCTCTCCACTCTGAAAAAACAAAAAGACAACCATCATATATGTTGTAATACATTATATTATACTAACACAAAGACTTAAGTCTGACCTGAGTTTGCTGGGGATGAAGCCCACCTCCTCCACCTCGTTTTGGGGGCTGACTCTTCGCGCCTGCCACCACTCCTCGTCCCCACAGTCCAACACGTGAAGCACATCCCCAAACCTGAAGCTCAAAGCCTGGCTCAGGAAGCCACAGTCTGCTGTCTTGTCATAGTCGAAAAGAGCCCTTGGAAAGACATCTCTAGTTATTGCGAATACTCAATGACACAACATTTACATTTAGACCGTTGTTTTATAGTATTATGACTGCGGACTGCATCTATAAAGTTGTGTGGCTTGTAATATTTAATAAAACCGGTGAACTGTGCCTTTATGTATTATTTATAGGCAGACCAGCATGGCAGACTTGCTTTAAACTTGCATTATATATTTTTGCACTAACTGCACATCTTGTAGAAAAATATGTTCACAACATTAAAATTCCCTCATATAGTGTAAGCGTCTATAGCCATATCTATAATTTAACAGTGCGCCCTGAAGGGAAATACTTAAACAGCTGAATCTTGCATAACAACAACATCGTAATAACACCATCTGATTCAATGCTTTTAAGACACTTCTCTGAATGCTCCAAATATATGATTGTGTTAATTAACGATTACAATCTTGGCATGGGTGTTGCTTGCGGTACCTGATATAAAAGCCTCTCTTTGGGTTGCTCCGTAGTGTTGTGGTCCCAGAGCCCATGCTGCTGTTCATCAGCTGTTCCCTCAAATCGTGAATCTTGGCTTCAAAACGACTGTACTCTGAAACACAACGCTTGAACTGACTTTGGCAATAACATCACATCTTAGGGATCGGCTCAGATCAAGCCAATATTTGCAATTCTTACAGTATCAGTTATGTACAGACATAATTGGCGTATTCAGTTCTGTCGGGAACAGAATGGGAATCGATTGAATAAAATAAAATAGAAATTCATTGATAATCTGGAAATTATGAAGGGCGAATAATAATAGAGCTTCATTAATTGCACTAGATTAATCATTTTTAATATTGTTAATATTTTGAAACAGGTGCTTTGCAGATACAGCTCAAACAATGACAAAATACAAGTATGAAGTAATTGGCTTGAGTTTGATAAAGCTGCTTTGCCTGTCAGGCTACAGTCATATGGCTTCAAGCCTCGTCCTCTCTATACCGGTACTGGTGATCCATTGGCACCAGCACCAAAGAGCTGCACTCCCTCCGAGGTTTGACTCCATTTTCTCTTCTCACTGTTCAAGTGTGTGATTCCAATAAGCTCCAGTTGGTTGCTAATGAGTTTTGGGGCTTTATTTGGATGTTAAAGGAACTCACACGCATACACACACACACACACACACACACACACACACACACACACACACACACACTGAGCTGCTGCACTTAGAAGTTATATTAGACACATCTTACAACACAGCACGCTCCTTTACACGTGAACAAACAGAGTCCAAAAAATACATACAGTATGTGTGAAGAGTTAACGTGACAATGTTCACAGCCCTAATACGTAAGAAAGAATTTACCATCTGGTCTGTACTGAGCGATTATTGTCACAGTCTGTCCCGCATTTTTGAGTGCTGCTGCTGCCTGCTCGTGTGTGGCCATTCGAAGGTCAACACCATTCACCTACAACACAGAAAAAAGTGGCCAAATCAAAAAGAAAAGTTCAAATATGTGGCACATGAGTGATGGGGGACTCCTTACACTGAGGATCTGATCGCCCTTGTGCAGCTCTCCGCTCAGGTCAGCCGGACCCCCTGCCAGGATGAAGGAGATGAAGATTCCCTCCCCATCCTCCCCACCTACGATGTTGAACCCCAGACCTGTCGACCCTCGATGGATCAAAACTCTCCGAGGCTCCCTGAACAGACGCCCAAAATAGTGTAGAATCAAGTGTATATGGGAACAAAAAGGTTTATTGATCATTACAGACCTGGGGATATCATCATCTCCCATCATACTGTGCAGCACCGGGGAGAAGCGACTCGGCGAGGTGGGAGTGAGTGCTTGTGGGTAATCCGATCCTAGATAGCCCGGGTGGCTGAGGTCAGTATCCATGTGAGAATATGCTAAGAATAAAAAAATATATTATTTTTGTTTTAATTCATTCTCAATATAACAGTGTATTATGGCAGTTTTTTCCTTTTACTTGAACACATTTTGCTACATTTAGCTCATTGTCCCAAATCTCTACACACAAGAGAACCTGACACAACACTGGGACATAAACCATTCACATCTGGGTCAAAATGAAACTCAAACTCTGCTCTCAAAACTAAACATTCTTTTGTCAAAATTAAACTCTGAGGACAAAATGATACACACTTTGAGATTAGAAGCAACACACTAAAGTACTTTATGTAAAACACTGCAGTCATGTTCACAGTTTTCATTCTGTTTATCAGTTAGTTTTCTGTGAAGCTCAAAGGAACTGATTTTGTTCTCAACAAAGGTTTATCAACAACCATGAAAGTTCTGAAAGGTTACAAATATTACACTGGGTAACAAAAAGATATTTTTTGAAAATAGTCCAGGGTTTTCCAGCTGAATTAGACTAATTTTGATGCTCTGAGTCCGAAAATGACCTTGGTTTTGCTCAATCAGGTCAGGATTTTTTGCTACAGAAATATTTTTATAAAATCAATTTTACGTAAAAAACAAATTTCTGCGGATCATCAGCTGAGAAACCCTTGACGTTTTTCCGTTTTCCTCAAGAAATAAGGGTCAACGTATCCAAAGTCATTCAGCTTTTATTTACTCCATCAAATTTGATTAGCAGAATTCATAATAACGTAGACGTACATAATCCATAACACTATGGCTGTATCTCAAAAAGTTGACCTGATAGAGCAAAATGCATGTGATATTCGGACTCAGAACACCAAAATTTGTCTAAATCAGTTGAGAAACCCCTGACCATTTTTTGGCTGTCAACTTGTGTTATCAACTCAATACTGTACATCACAATACTACAGTATACTGTACATCACAGTACTACAGTATACTGTACATCACAGTACTACAGTATACTGTACATCACAGTACTACAGTATACTGTACATCACAGTACTACAGTATACTTTACGTCAATGCAGTAACACAAACTCCAATGTAAAACTAGGCAATTGTGCGTGGGTGGGATTATGGATCATATTTCCTGCTCGGACTATTTCCACAGTTGCAGACCACCTCCACCTCCAGAAGGTTTTCTAGTCCATTCATCCATCCATTTTCTTCCCTTTCCAGGGAAGAAAATTAATTTCTGGGTCGTTGGGGTTGCAGTCAGAGCTGCACTCAGTACACAGAGCACCAACCCCTCACTGATCCTCCTGCAGGTGGTGAGTCCACAGGAGCCTTGATATTCCAGCAGGGGCTTCAGGCAAAGTGTGGTTAAGTGTCTTGCCCATGGACACAACGACAGCGAACATCAGTGGGAACATCATGAAGTAGGTCTTATGGTGGGCTCGAACCCACAACCTTCAGGCCCAAAGGCCAATGCTCTACCAACTGAGCCACTGTCTTCTAGTCATTCTGTATAAATATGCAATGAAAAATTGTTACTATTGGTTTTTGTTTTTTTGTTTTTTTTGTTTTTTACAGAACTGTATACTGTACACAGTACTGTGTCTCAATGGTCATATTTACTTTACTGTATTATATGTTTCACAAAACTACCATTTTTTAAAAGGAGCAATAGCCATCTTGCAATGCAGTACATGTGATATGGTATTGTTTCCCTCTGTATTACTCTGCTTCCCTATTTGTGAGGCCATGACTTATCACATAATCCACCAAACTTGCCCTAATGTCATCAGAAATATTTTCAGCCACGTCTACTCCTCCTCTCTCCTTGTCTTTCTCTTCCCTTTCCTCTACCTCTTGCTCTTCCAGCCTCCATACTTTCAAAGTTCTGAAAATGGCAAAACTGAGGCCTGTTTACAGTATGTGTATATCTTAGTGTTTTCAATCACACAATGTGTTTGGTATTTTGAATAGATGTGTTTTCCCAAAAATAACACAGGATTGCATTTATGAACAAAGTGTCTTATGTACGACACAGTCTGTAATGAGCAGTAGAAAGTGTGTTGCAGAAGGAGCAAGTGTTTGAAAAAAAATGAAAGAAAAGTGAAAATCTGTACTTTTGTTTTTCTGAATGGTTAAACTGTGTTTTAGGTTTAGTACAGAAGCTTCAGGTTCTGTAACTTCTAAGCATGTTTCTATAGTGACAGGAAAAAACTGTATTTACATCTATACTTTAGAAGTTATAACATGCAAACTATTCTACAGGGTTAACAATAATGACTTAATTGATGTTAATTGCAAAGTGCAAAAGTGTAACTATTTTATGTCTTGAAGAAACTGCTGGGAATGAAAAAGTTATACAAATGTGTGATTGAAGAGTAGGGTACACTCACTGCTGGTGAGGTCAGGGGGGTTGTAGGAGTTGGTCAGGAACAGGTTGTTGGGCTTTGCCACCCGGAGGTACACAACCTCAGCTGTGTTCTTCAAAGCCCCCACTGCATCCTCATGCATCACGTCCTCCAGACACACACTGTTCACCTACACACAGTGTTTAGAGTTACCACAACATAACATAAAGGTGAAACTCGTAAAATTAAAATATCTTTCAAAAGTTCATTTGAACTAAAATGTGAACTAAAAGGTCTGTATTCAACTAAAATGTGGAACCAATACATCCTTTGTTTGTTTTACTGTTGATGATAATGGCTTACAGTCCATTTTCACATTATTATAATTGCCTGAGATGTTTGTTTGGAGTCTTTACAAACTGTGAGTAAATTATCAACAATTTAAACAAATAAAGATATGATATTTCTCACTTTGCATATAACGAGTTACATACAGTAAATAACAGAAGAAAATTGTCATTTTATATATATGAATAAATTCTATACTTCCAACTTTCACCTTTATACATGAGCTTTTTCTAAATATCATGTAGCATTATGGCATGATAAAAGCAGCACGGCAGTATGTTTGTGTTCTCATTTTTTTTTGAGGCTCATTGTGTTATAATGATTGAAAGACACTTTATTGATCATTTGCAGAAAATGTCTTCAATGCCACAGCTGATGAGGTAGATCATTTGCTGTGAACTAACTATGAATTATTTTGGTTAATGTGAGACATTTAAGGCAAAGTTTGGGTTAAGACTTAATTTGAATACAACAAAATCACTCACATACTGGAGTAAGTCATCTCCAGGAGAGTTGCACAGGCATTGAGCGTGTTAGGACTTGGATATTGAAATTAGCTGCTTAGTGTAAAAAAATAAATTAAAAAAAATCTGCAGTGCACTGCCTCTACTGGCCACCAGATGGCAGAAATTGTGGTTTAGTGTGTTAATTTCATCCAGGATCAATCCCACTCATTTATTAGCATTTTCACAACAGTTCCATGTCGAGAAAATTAAATTTATTTTTCTTTTTGATGCTAAAAGACACTGAGCTTGTGCATACAGTGGTGAGGGATTAGAGCTGTTTCATGTGAATATGAAAATTTTGTGTGGGTGCATCTCTGTACTCTATGAGAGAATTACACCCGGGTGACTGACCGCCAAGATCTTATCTCCAATCTGCAGACGTCCATCCTTATGAGCTGCTCCGCCCTCGATGATCTTGGTGACATAGATACTATTGTCTCCGGGTATGTGCTGGTTGCCCAACCCTCCAGCGATGCTGAAACCTAAGCCTGCGAACAAAGACCCAGAGCAGAGGGTAAGCAAAGCACTGTAGGTACAGGTTCATATGGAGCAGATTAAGAAAAGCAGATTTAGTGGCATTTAAAGCATCTGTAATCCACAGAACAGCCATACGTACTCTGTCAACACTTACCTTTGGGGCCTTTGATGAGTTTAATTTCTGTCACTTTTTCTGCTGCAGGTTTCCTCCGGAGAACATAAAGGCGGACTATAGCACCTGCCTCCTTCAAAGCCTCCACCGCCTGGCTGTGTGTCACCTCTCGTACATCCACATCATTCACAAACAGGATGCAGTCATTCACACTGGCAGATAGACAGAGACAGGCAGGGAGTCAGCAAAACAGCAAGTTTGTTTTCATTTAAAGAAAATGAATGTAATACACAGCCACAGGAGGCGAGAGGCACTCAATCTGCAACTGTAGCTCTGTCAGAGATCTCGTTTCACCACAGACATCCTGACTCTTATTGCACACTCCAAGAAACCTCTACTTGGGGTATATTCGGTTATGACAGTGACAATGTGGGAGACAAAGGTACAGTATGTGCGAAAAAACAGTCTTTCATTTTCAGCTGTAATAGTGGTTCATTTTCACCCCACCAGCGCCGTCTGGTATGATTCATGGAACCAATGACGGAAGAAGGATGCTGAGTAGAGGAAATGTTTGATTTAAAGAAGAAAGGGAGTGTATGTTGCACCCTTGCGCTGCAAGATGAATTCTTGCAATATTGTGATTTCACAATTCTCTGGAGAATCCATCTTGAAGGGCTGCAGCGTATTGATTTGCAGTCCGAACCACAAGGGCAGCAGTGTGAATGAGACCAGGTAAAACAACAGTGATGATGACGCTGGAGATGTTTTTGATGCTAATGCTGCTATTGATAGACAGTGTTGGGCAAGTTACTTCAAAAACACAATACATTATGTATTACTTGTTACTTGAAGTTATGTGTTACACTACAATATCACTGTCTCTGAATTATAAAGCATTGCACTACTACTGCAATACTTTTAAGTTATATTCACCAAATATATATATCCAATTTAAATGTAGCTTATTATGCTATTGCGTGAGGTTGATAGAACCTTTGTTTTCACACATGAAGTGCATTTAACTGTTATGTAATGTACTATTATCAGAGGTAGGGCCTGCTTCTGCTTCAGCCATCATCTACCAGAAAGGAAAACAACTTTTAGGCGGCTTCTATTGACGCAGATGTTTCCTCGCCTGCTGATCTTGCAGTGGCATAGTATAAAAACTAGTGCTCTCAAACATTTCAAATATTAAATTGCGACAGCGGGGTGTAGGAGGCTGCAGGGCTGTCCATGGTAGGAGCCTGGGCCTGACAGTATTCTTTTTTGGTTATAAGGCAAGGCAAGGCAAGTTTATTTGTACAGCACAATTTCATACACAAGGCAACTTGTGTATGACGTATATTGTGTATAACAAAATAAGAAAGCATTAAAATCATAAATAATCAAGGAACATTAAAAAGAAAGATAAAAATATAAAATCCCTCAGTTGTATCCACAGATAAACAGAACCGTTTTTAACCTGGTTTTAAACATTGTCAGAGAGAAGGCCTGTCTCACATCTTCAGGAAGATTGTTCCAGATTTTAGCTCCATGAATCTGAAAAGCAGATTAGTCCTGACTCTGGGCACTAATAACAGAGTGCTCTCAGTCCCTATGCTCCTCAGAGTCCGGGCCGGTTCATATGGGACTAACAGGCCATGGAGAGACTTGTACACAAGCAGAGCTGTTTTAAAGTCTATTCTCTGAGCCACAGGAAGCCAGTGCAGAGACCTGAGAACTGGACTAATGTGGTCGTACTTCCTGGTTCTAGTCAGGACTCGAGCTGCTGCATTTTGAATGTACTGCAGCTGTTTTACAGCCTGTTTGGACAGACCTGTGAGCAGGCCATTGCAGTAGTCTAACCTACTGGACACAAATGCATGAATAAGAATCTCCAGGTCTGCTTTAGACACTATGTTTTTGATCCTGGCAATGTTTTTTAGGTGGTAAAAAGCTGCTGATGTTACTGATTTAATGTGGCTATTAAAATTTAAGTCTGAGTCCAGTATTACCCCTAGATTCCTGACCTTGTTTGAAGGTTTTAGGGAGAGAGACTGGAGGTGACAGATGACGCTCTCTCTTTGTCTCTGGGGACCAAAAACAATCAATAAAGTTTTAATAGACCAAAACTGGACCAAAGGTTAAGAAGGATGAGTATTGTAGACTGACTTAGCAGCTGTTGATACAAAAGTATGGGATAAGCAGCATATAAAAATACACAAATCACTCCACAAACAAAAATGTAAATAAATAAAATGTGATCATTATGTCATCTGTAATTCATATTTTATTGCTGGAATATCCTTACACTGGTGCGTGCATGTACCTGAGCCTGCCGTCCTGAGCTGCAGCGCCTCCAGGGATAATTTTAGTGATGAAAATGCTGGGGTCATCGCCCACATGGGGATTGTCTGTCCCTCCTGCTATACTGAAGCCGAGGCCCGAGTTTCCCTGACACAGAAGAACACTTGACTGTCAGTCACATTTTAACAACAGGAAAACTATACTACTGAATTAAGACTCACCCGCTCCAATGTGATCTCCTCATATTCAATTTCCCCTTCTGTTCCGTTTACCTATAAAATAAATTAGCCTTAATGCACATTCTACAACGTGTTTCCAAGAAAGCATTGAAAAGACAAATCAACATAATCATTACATTCTTGATTCCATATAATAAGATCTATTTATTGAGACTATTTGATTGTTTGATTGTGTTCTTTTCTCTGCTTCTTTCCTGGGCACTCTTTTCCAGTGTCTGATTTGCCTTCTGCCTTCACACAATTAAAATAGTCCCTGAGGAGAAAAGGAAGCAAAGAAAATCACAGAAAAACACTTTTTGGGTTGACCTAGAAAACAAACTTTTGTAGTGATGTAGTGGTGCAATAAAACTGATCAGAGAGAGATAGCAAACTTTTTATTCAAGCCAGTGCACTTTTAAATCGAATTTGTTTAATATAAACTATGCGTCTGAGGTAAAACGTTTTTTCAAATTTAAATCACTTTGTATAAAATTACAGATCGCACAATAAGCAAGTGTGAAAGCAGAAGAGCAAGTGTGTAGGCGCAAGTGGCTAATCTAATGGCATACCATAATGAAATGGTGAAAAGGCAAAATACCCGCCACATGGACTGTTCCAACCTCTCCTCTCTGGAAGGAAGCTTCAATCCATTCAGACCAGAACCTCCCGTCACAAGAACAGTACCTTCCCCTCTGTTGTTGAGTGTCATGAACACTTCATAACCCTGTCCCCCGCCCTTTATAGCGTCACTTTACTGCCGTCACATTACCTCACTGCTTAATGTCTCATGTGTGAACCAAGTGCACATGTACATTACTGTAATTTCAATCATCTTTGAAACACATATTTTTAAAATTTCTATATTTTAGAAATGTAGATTTTTATTATTCTTTTATCTACTTTTGACTTGTTTGCACCAAGAGCCAAAGCAGTTTCCTAGTGTGTGACTTCCTGTTACTTACATGGCAACACAAAATATTCTGATTGTGATTGTGATACTTACATATGGCGAGCCGTCCAATGTGTCCGTGTTCACCACCACAGGAGGAGTGTTTCCCTGCAGACAGAAACACAGGAGAAAAGTTATTAAGGAGAAATGGGAAACAAGGCGAATGTTGGGAGTGTTGGCCATTGAAGTCTGCAGTTTCCACTGAAGTCACCACCAGGTTATGAAACATATAGAGAAGACATACAGCTGTCAGGATTTATGGTATACAGATTTATCATGGAGTGGAGTTGGCAAACATCTATAATCATCATATACAGTGCCTTTAGCGTTGTCGCAAGAACATGCAAACTTTCAACACAAATACACGTCTGGCTTTTCTTTTAATGCGACATTTTCTTTACGACATTCAGATCAAATTGTGTCAAGCAACTCATTGTAAATGTAAAACCTATACTTTTGCTCAAGAGTACAGCCTCTTTATCCAGTTTTTCAGAAAGTGAACCCCTGAAACTCTGTAAAAGATAACACACTATTAGTATTTACAGAAATAAATAAAATAAAACAGATGTAAGGAAACGTTTGTGGGAAGACATTTTGCAGTATAGAAAGTGTCCTGGAGTCCGGTGCCAAAAGGTGAACAAACCATGTGCACACATTCCAACTATATCATTATTACTATTTGCTTTTTCTAACTATTTTCTGTAATTTTTTGTGTTTTATTTTTATTTATTTAACTGCATGCAATATTTTTAACAAGATAATTTCTGTTGAATACAAAATGCTGCTTAGCTTCGAACCAACTGTCACAAGACTAAATACTTTCCCATTTCTTACATCACATTATCAATAAAATGAAGGAATTGCTGTGTAAAGAAATAATATTCACAGTGACCACATGGCACCAGGCAGCAATGTTAGTTTGTTAAATTACTGTTGGTCATTCCTTTAGTATGTGACCATGCAGCTTTCATGTGGAATTGTTTTAATTTGACCAAAATATAGAGATAGAAGTGAAGTAGACTATTTTGTGATTATTTTAGATTAGATTATTTACACAATACAGGATTATATTTTGACCATCAATCAAGAATTCGGGATTCATTGATTAATATAAACATTTAAGTACTACTCCAAGACTATTGTGTCACTCATTATATCAATGTTCAGCCTCCACATTCACGTTAACAGCACCGTGCAGCAGTCTCCTCACACTTTTGAAAAAGTGACAGACAGAATGATGATTTAACAGCTAGAAACAAAGCACTGTGTCTTTGAAGTAACTGATGTGTTTTGACAATTTGGTTCGCAACCATATTTTATCGTTGATGGATTGTACAGTAACACAAATGCCACATACGATGACATCCGAAATGTTTAAATAAAACACTCCACGTCAGCTCGTATGGTTCTGCGAGTCAGAAGACCCGTGGGAATAAAAAAAAAAAAGACTAATGATATACAGTATTTAAAATGTCGTGCCATTTTCCTGCTGTTTTCATCACAGTTTCCTGTCTCCTACGCGGTGGTGGAGAAATAGGGACAACTTATACAGTCGGCAGATGATATGCTTATACTAAAACTACTAAGCTCACATTTTATGATTTATGATTCAATGCAATTATATGCAATAACATGCAGTAAATACCCTGGAAATGACAAACACTGAATGATTTGATAAACAAATCTTGTTGATACATTTTCAGTGTAGCAGCAATAATTACAGACGGACGGGATAAAGAAGCAGCCATGACATCCATCCATTTTCTTCTGTTTTAGCTGATGCCAGGTCACGGAGGGAAGCATTAGAAGCAGAGACGCCCCAGACTTCCCTCTCCACACTTCCTCCAGCTCATCTGGTGGAATCCCAAGGCATTCCCAGGCAAGCTGAGAGACAGGGTCCCTACAGCGTGTCCTGGTCTCTCTCGGGGTCTCCTCTCAATGGGACGTGCCCAAAGCTAGAGGCGTACAGGCGGGTAACAATTGCTTGAGTCACCTCAACTGGCTCCTCTCTACTTGGAGAAGCAGCAGCTCTACTCCGAGCTTCCCCCGTGTGACAGAGCTCATGACCATAGATGAGGTCCTTGTATTCATAGACTCAAATCTTTAAACTACAATTTTGCCAGAAGTCCTATACATGATTTTCCACAATGTCATTCTAGTTTTATTTCGGTTCTGTTTCGCCTAACTTTACTCTACTGTCTTTTACCTCTTTATGGTAATATTTCCAAGTATTTTTTATCAGCGTTTTTACAGTGGTCATGTATGATGCATTACAACATACCCCTACCCTGAAATGTCACAAAACTGCTGCCGATTTTACAATATTATTCACTATTCAAGAATCTGCTGTCCGCACATAAACCAGGATGACTTGATTATAGAAGTCCTTGTGCAAAACCATGGTGACAATACTGTAAAACTCTCTCCAATGAGCCACGAGGCTGCACATTACGTCAAATTCGTCCTTATCTGGAGACTGAAATAATGAGTATAGCCAGGAGAAATCTAAGGCCGGTGCCAGGCAGTTTTCTGCAGGGATTTTGACAAAGCCGCTCTCACTCGCTCTTCTCTTTCTGCTCTGTCAAGTCATTGGACGCCAGGCTTGTTAGGATTTACTGTCTTTGGCTGATGTGGTCCACCTATATTTTAACACCAGCCAACTCGTCTCACTGTTGTGTTTTTACAGCCGGCAATCACATTCTAAACCGCACCATATAATTTACACCCTGCTTGATTAATATGCAGCATGCTAAATGTCACACGACCTATTATTAAGTGTGTTTATGGACATACTCTGGTAAATTATACATTAACATAAAGATACATTTGCAAGCCGAGCAGTGTCTGCAAAAGGAAAACGCTTGTATGTCAATCGCTACTCATGAGAAAATGTAATAGCCATCATAAGAAAGACTACACATAGTGAGATAATCTTGCACATTTGAAATTAAAGAGTCATACAACAGCATGAAATGAAAATTGTTGGTAAAATAACACATTGCATAGATGCGCCACCGCAGAATGAACCACAAATTGTGCAAAATAGGGTGTTCCTATTTATAGATATGTGTGCTGTAACTACATTTTTGCCCACAAGATAAAAATGCTTGTACAACACCAGCTACCATTTCATTTATGCTATAAACGTGCTCCCTTAGCCTCCAGCATTGATCGTTAAACTGTTACTGTTAGAGGAAAGAAAACGCTAATATCGTTAAGAAGAAGGAGCTGAGCTGGACACAACCCAAAGGCTGCATTAGTGTCCGGCACACCTCACAGCAGCTAGGGAGGCTGGGAACACGTAAAAGCTACCAACATGCAAACTAACGACCTCTGTGGAAAATATGCAAAGTCCGACTGCTCAGCTTCGTCAGCAGCTTTTGGATGGCAGCAGCGAATTCAGATGGATGCTGGGGTAATAGAGAGAACATGCAAGCCGTAGCCAGATCTCCAGAGCAGTTTGGGGCATAGAAGACAAGACAGTGGTACATTAACTGGGGAAAAGGTGTCATTTGGTGAGTCAGATCCGTTCACAAACAATTCTATAACAGGAAACAAAATCAACTGTGTTTTGGTGGAAGAAAAAGAGGTTAACTCCACTCTCAAGTCAGACACAATACGCACATAATTTGTTTCCTATTGAATCATGGGTAATTTGGAAGCACACAAGGGAAGATTATAGCCTGCGTTGTGAGGTCATTTACTGTTTGTTGGAGAGAAACTCGATTTGGAGATTAGAGGCCAGATACGCATCTCTTCCCAAACATGAAGCCGCTGCAACATCTGATTAGCATTTTGTGAATTTAATTTAGTACGCACGCAATCTGTTATCAGTTAAAGCCCAAACATTTCAAGTACTCACAATCCCTAAATCACTGTACCTGAGAGTCTAATTAAGATGTCAAACTGTGCGTACCCGCTTATAAAGTCGGCGTTTCTTGGCTTTCCGTACATTCTCGAAGAAGCGGGAGCCCATCTTTTTAGCATACCACACTGACATGAACATTTTGCCACATTGACATTTGAAATTTGTTTAAAATCCAAAACTTGACCACATGTTGTTTGTTGTATGTCCACCCTTCTAAATAAAATAAAATCCAGTCAAAGTTAAGACAGTCATTAACGCAAACGTCATTTTCCGAACAAACGGAGCAAAAACACTTTGGAGAAATAATAAAGTGAGAAGACTGTTCAATTCCAAAAGGCAGAAGAGGCTTGTGAGTTCTTGCAGGGTTGATGCTGGAGTCTCAAAAATGACTCATCAGTGTTTTCATTCCGAAAAATGTCCTCCATTCAGATGCAGAAGGAGCTTTGGGAAACAGGTCTTCTGTGTCCCGTCTGCAGATGGACGGTGTGGGGCTTGTCCCAGCGGCTGCTCTGCTGGTGGAGAATGCTGTTCATATTTCTGCCTCCGCGTTTCCCTGCTCCCCTCCCTCCTCTGCTGTTAAAGAAGAAAGGCTAAAGGAGTGGAGCAGGAAAGTTTGATGGTAATTACTTAGCTGCCTGTCTCTGCGTAGAGCTGAAGGTGTTGACATTTGAGAGGCATTTATGCTTTAAAGAGAGGGACGAGTCACGGAACGTTTGTGGACTTGTGGCTCTAGTCGACCAGGACACTCTGTTTTTTCAGTTTCAAAAATATATGTCATTTTTCAGTATGTCGCCCAAACACTATTCCTTCGTGACTTCTTGTGACTGCATCAATGTACAACAGTTTGGACCACAGTTTATAAAATATGTTATATAATTTACTGGCTCCCACTAACATTCCTGTAAAGAAAATATATTATTATTATTACTACAAACATATAATTTTTGCCCATTGTTTGCCCATTCTAATCAGAACCGAACCCGGGGATGACGACATGGCAATTTTAAGCAAATTATAAATAAAAAATCCTTCAAAGCTTGCCAAAAAAGTTGTGTATTTTTCCCCCAGCACACAGAATGAAACACCTTTGTTTTTGCACCCTTTTTTTCATCCCAAGCAAGCCGGGTCATGCTGTAAAACTGTGTATACAGAGTGTATATAAGCTCAATAGACCCTTCTCTATCAAACAATGTCCACAAATCTATCGAAACTTGTTTGATGGCATTTTGAATTCACAGAGATACAGTGACGCGATCCTAAGGCCCAATGTCCTGGCATCCGTCCACAACCATCACCTCATGTTGCAGCATGATGCACGGCCTCATGTTGCAATGATCTGTGCTCAATACAGCTGAAAACATGTTTGGGATTCTCTGGATGGGAGTGTTCCAGTTCCTGCCAATATCCAGCAACTTTGTATTTGGAAGACAGATGGACCAACATTCTATAGGACACAATCATTTTTATTTTTATTTTATTCCGTATATATTTGCGATTCAATTCTTAACAGTGGTTTCTAAGCCAACCAGCTTGTTATTGTGACTTAACAATGCACAAACGTATGACACACAAGGGCAGACTTGAGTAAGTGCAGGCTGAAGGACAGGCTGACAGACTCATTTTGTTCAATAATGATTAAAAAAAAAACCTTCTGCCTATCTCATCTCCTTTCCTATCATGACGCTCAGTCCCCCATTCAGCATAAACTCCCCCCCTCTCTACACTCCTCTCTCCTCTCCTCTCTCCTCTCCCTCTCCACCTCTGTCTGTCCCTGAGGACCTGAGCTGCTGCTGCTGCTCAGTAATTACACCAGAGCTGCAGGGAAATATTTAAACATTTATTAAAGAAAAGCAGTAGGACGGAGCAAATGAAGATAGAGTGATATGGCTCAAATGAGAGTGATGGTAGGATATTGCTTACTTAGAAAGTTGCTTTGGAGGTTTGTTTAAAGTGAGGAAGACTTTAATTTGACAAGTATTTCTTATGACATAGACGTACATTGGGCTGCTCTCGTTGCAAGGAAGCACCTTGCTTATAAAAGCAACTGCTTTTACAAAAATGGCTATATGTCTGTGTAAAACATTTCGTTTCCAAAATTAAAAAGAGGAGTAATTTCTTGCTAAACGACCTCAAAGCTAAATCATCTCTGTAACCTATGGACCTGTTCTCATTGTGCCAAACCAGCAGCTCTGAAGCTACTGTAAATCAATGGAAGCTCAATTGAAAGTGGCAAAGCCCACAGCGTTACGTCAGTAAAGCGGCAGACTGACTACAACACCTACACACTGACGAGCGGCCGGCTGCAAATACATCCATACGGACAAGAGAAGCTGCAGTGCATTCTGGGAGCTCTACATACTTCATTGGAGCAGTGTGGAACATTGGCTGAATGCATACAAGAACAGGCCAGATGAGTGAGTGTACAGGAGGCATTAATCTGCATATGGCAGAGGGGTCGCTGCACTGTACACATAACACTTGGCCAAGATGCCTGAAGGAAAATGAATTACTTAAATTCAAAGGCCCTGAATAAAACTGTCATCAGAGTGCATACATGTGTATAGTGATTAGCAGATATGCTCTACCAGCAAGAAAGGATTTATACAGTATATATTTAAACTATGTTTACTATGGTAAAGCATAATATAGAATTTGTCTAGGGATTTCATTGCCTGTTCCTAAAGTTTAAGCCCAAAAAACAGAAAGTGATTTCACGGGCTGTGAGGCCAATGCAGCCGGTCTGCTCGTAAACATGTTTTATTAGGAAAGGAGCTCTGCCATGGTTTCAAGGTTAGGAAAGTCACTCTGCTCAGTCAAACACTGACACCTACAGGTCTGATAACTAAAATATGATAGATTCTATTAAGTTAATGGCTACATGCAAAAAAATTATAATTGTAATTGTATTATTTCACAGTACTGTACTTCCTCACATTCAGTTTATGTGAGGCAGTTAAAAAATCACAACAATGGCATTTTTGTTAATTTTGTGTAGGCACATTTTTGAAAACGTCAAACCTGAAGCACAGAGGTGACAGATAGACAACACTGAAGACTCCCATAGTACGGCTGTGTTTGACATAGAAGAGAGTTGAACAGGCGGCGGCTGGAGAACATACAAGTTAGACCAGAGTCCCAGGACACATGAGGTGGGACACAAACCAAACCAATGACAATGGCACACGACAATGGCGGGGTTAAGTCTTGCGGTGGGACAGAGCGGCTTTGCGCTTACCAGTGTGGAAACAGCTGAGGTGTACATTGGGGTGTGTCCCGTAGACATCAACACTGGCTGCAAAATAACAGAAGGGAGAGGGTAATTGTGCGGGGCATGAGCATAGACGCATGGGACAGAGAGAGATGGGTCCTCTGGGTGAACACAACTCACACCTGCTCCAACATGTGTCCTGCAAGCAACGAACAGATCAGCCCAGTACTCCAGGGAGAGGCTGGGGGGGGGGGGGGGGGGGGGGGATTTTTGAACAGAGATGACATTTATTTATTTGATTACTTATACAGCCATTCTATGAGAGTAGTACGTGTACAATTATTTAATACACCACAATAGCTTTTCTTTGTTATTTGGAAAATGTGTCATATCAGGTTTAAATTGTACATGGATGTGTGAGGATCTTGTACTTTGACATTCACTATGCTCCCTCTATACCCATACCGGGAGTCCACCGCAGAGACGCCGTCACCTGCTGCAGAGAGCACAGAGGTGTGAGCGCTTGTATCTGCTGCGTGGTCCACGTGTAGCTGTAGGTGGATTAGAACAGATCTTTGTATCTACAGATACTATCGCTGCTCTTACAGGGCTGAATATAGAAACACACTGGGAGATGCTATTATTGATTGACTGCGGAACCTTCCGCAGTCAACCATTGGTTTTGTATTTCTTTATTCCGTCATTTTTTTTGACACGTTTCACAGCTTTCACATTTTCAACAATTTCCACAAGTTATACATCAAAACGTTCCACATGTTTGGGAGATTATTGCTATTACTTTTGGGACTTCAGCGATTTCCGGTTTTTCCGCAATCGGACAAAAATCTGCATTGAGAATTCTGCAATGCATTTTAATAGGCCCATGCATTTTAATAGGACTTCAGCTCTTTCAGACATTTCTACAGTTTCAATGATTCAACAGTTTCAAGGATTCAACAGTTTCAAGGATTTCAGCAGTTTCAAGATTTCAAGAGTTTCAAGGACTTCAACAGTTTCAAGGACTTCAGCAGTTTCAAGGACTTCAGCAGTTTCAAGGACTTCAGCAGTTTCAAGGACTTCAGTGTAATCATGCAACCTAATAGGGATTTTTCCATGTAAACCAGTATAATGCAACTTAATAGGGATTTTTCCATGTAAACCAGTATAATGCAACTTAATAGGGATTTTTCCATGTAAACCAGTATAATGCAACTTAATAGGGTTTTTTACATGTAAACCAGTATAATGCAACTTAATAGGGGTTTTTTCCATGTAAACCAGTATAATGCAACTTAATAGGGATTTTTCCATGTAAACCAGTATAATGCAACTTAATAGGGATTTTTCCATGTAAACCAGTATAATGCAACTTAATAGGGATTTTTCCATGTAAACCAGTATAATGCAACTTAATAGGGGTTTTTACATGTAAACCAGTATAATGCAACTTAATAGGGTTTTTTTCCATGTAAACCAGTATAATGCAACTTAATAGGGATTTTTCCATGTAAACCAGTATAATGCAACTTAATAGGGATTTTTCCATGTAAACCAGTAATGCAACTTAATAGGGTTTTTTTTCATGTAAACAGTATAATGCCACTTAATAGGGTTTTTTTCATGTAAACCAGTATAATGCAACTTAATGGGGATTTTTCCATGTAAACCAGTTGCAACTTAATATGGGTTTTTACATGTAAACCAGTATAATGCAACTTAATAGGGTTTTTTTTTTACATGTAAACCAGTATAATGGAACTTAATAGGGTTTTTTACATGTAAACCAGTATAATGGAACTTAATAGGGGTTTTTTACATGTAAACATGGAACTTAAACATGTAAACAGTATAATGCAACTTAATAGGGATTTTTACATGTAAACCAGTATAATGCAACTTAATAGGGATTTTTCCATGTAAACCATATAATGCAACTTAATAGGGTTTTTTACATGTAAACCAGTATAATGCAACTTAATGGGGATTTTTCCATGTAAACCAGTATAGTGCAACTTAATAGGGGTTTTTACATGTAAACCAGTATAAAGGATAACAGTTTAAAGGATATCAGGAGCTTCAAATACTTCAGGAGTTTCAAAGATGTTTAAAGTATTTTAACAGTTTCAAGGATTTCAAGGATTTTTCAGCTAAATTCCACATTAGATCTGTTCCGCAGTCAATCGCAATGGCTTCAGCCATTGCAAGTTTCTAGTTGACTCTGGAGCTGAAGGCACTCAGGTTAATTATGCCAAATAACAAGGAGGACTGTTAGAAGTGGTAGGAAGCAGGAAGCAGAAAGTAAAGGGAACATGGAGGGCATAAAGCTCCATTACACAAACGATAAAACTAAGCAGTCATAAGCAGTTTTATATCAAATCCATCATTTATATCAAACTTCCTTCATGTTACTTATGTTTTATGCAGAACACAAAAAGCAATCTATTGAAAAAAAAAAATCTTTGTCAGTAAATATGTGTAATTATGTATCTGTTTATCCAGTATGTAAGCATACTCAAAAAGTCATTGCTACAATTGTACTATCTTTTATCTCTTGATTTGTGTGAAAAAAAAAAATTAAACTGTATGCCAACCAGACCAAACCAGTACCATGAAGACTGAAACGATGACTAACCCAGCCATTTAACAAGTATACAATTACTAACCAGGTGAAAATAAGGAGTGTACGCATTGATTTAATCAGTAAATTGGGACTGTTTAAGATGTGCTGTGTGTGCGTTGCACGTTAGCACTTTATGAATGTGATTGGATGTGTGATTTGACACGTGAAAGTAAACATGGCGGGTTGTAGCCAAAAGGCGATTCAAAGGTAATTTTTTTCTGCTGTCCCAAGGCTCACAAAAAGCACTATACCACATTTTATATAATGTAACAAATAATGTTAAATTGCATTCACATTATCACACAGACCTCTTTATTTGACCACACATATTTACACAGTTGAACAGCTTTTGTTGCTTGTGAACACAAAGACAACTCTAAAATAATACAATTCTTCTGCAATTCTAAGCAGTGTGATTATTACTGACAATGGGGAGAATGATGTTTTGTAAGAAATACTGCAAAATGAAGAAACACTGAGTCATGAATAATTAACTCAAATGCTATTAAATATGTGATAAAATATGCAATACCCCTTCAATAATATTCAAACATGAATACAACAGCGACAGTTTGAGGTTTGATTTGTGAACCAAAGGTAAAATGTGTGTAGAGATATCACTTTACATTTCAATTTTATCTGCATACCTTTACTCAGTACCACATTTTAATTTAAAATGTAAAGAAAAATCTAATTAACAAGGCATGCCTGTTGTGTTGCGCTAATAACAGCCCATTTTACAGTTGAGCAAAGTATATCCAACAGCAGCAGTTACAGTAAATTGCTGCAATACAAAAAACAATTAATTTCAAAGAAGGTCAGTTAGAGCCATTAGGGAGACTGAAGGCTGCTTTAGCTGAATGTGTGACCTGCTGATGTGTAATGATGTACTTGGACACCTCTGAAGGAGCTCATGTGTTTGTGTTGGGATTGATACACTGTCTGAAGTACAGGCCGCTTGTATTGTGTCTTTATTGATTGACTAGTGTACAGTGTGTTGGCAGCCTACCTTGACAGGAGAGATGTGTGTGTGCGGAGTGTAGCCGTGGATGGCCTCCATGGCGGCGAGGTTCTTGTCGCTCATATGAAGCATTTCGGCACTTTTCCCTGGAGCCAGATGAGCTGGACTGTGCTCCAAGGGGGGCGTCTCCTCATCCTGGTACCGGTACTTCTACAAGCACACACACACACACACACAGAATCGACACTTAGTCACTACGTATGCCTATCTAGGACATTATACCACACATAACACGCTGAGTGACGCCTACAAGCGCTAAGTGAGGACATCATAGAGACAGAGGCTGAAAATGGGGCCATTGTGTGTCATCAAAGCGTCCTCCACAAGCTCACAAAGCAGATCTGAGTCACAGCACCATCACATCATGCTATTGCCTTTTCCTTATCACATTACTCTCCACCCTGATCCCACACCTGAGTCTTTAGCCTGTGTGAGAGATATACAATAGAACTCTATTGTCTGTTAAATTGAGCAGAAATTTGTCATTAAAACACACTACATTTAGCATAGATGTTGTGACGAGAACTAAAATAACAACTTTAAAACCTGCATACAATAGGCAAGTACAAATGAAGACCGGTGTTTAACCATAGACTGTATGCAGATGGAAAATCCTCTAGCTCAGCCATTCCCAAACTCAGTAACACCGAGACCCCCTTAAAAATCTGACGGGTCTGCGTGGCCCCCCAAAATAATAACCAAGAAGACAACATTAAGATTAGGCTCTTCTGGTTATTTTATTTTGGGGAAATAGCCTCTGCTACAAACATTGTAATACAAAAATGATAACAGTGGATTATTCAAGTCAAATAATGAACACAAATATTTTAATATTACAAACAAAACATTATAAATTTAACATTAAATAATTACATTATTATTTTTTTTTTTTATGACCTCCCGCGGCCCCCCTGCAGTACCCTCGCGGCCCACCAGGGGGCCGCGGACCCCACTTTGGGAGACACTGCTCTAGCTCAATGAAGCCTAATAGGACAGTTTTAGAGTTTTAGACTCTTGTGAGGGACACTCAACATTCAACACTGGTAATCTGACCCTTATGGAGCAATACCGATGTGTTTTCTGTTTAATTCTCTGATCGAACGGTTGTGTAAAGTCCTCCGAGATAACTACTGTTGGAATTTAGGGCTATACAAGAATACATTTAGTTGCATTTAATGAAGTTTTGCTCCAATTCACTTAAAAGTAAACTCCTCTGGCTCATTAATCGTTTGTGTCACACTCACCATTTTGGGCTTAAGAAATTAAATTATTATTGTTTTAGTGAATCCAGATGTGAGCCATAAAGACTGACCAATCAGATGCCTTAATTTGCGGACGAAAATTCAGCAACACCTTCATTTGCATCTGACCCTGTTATGGCGCAAAGCTAACCCCATCAGAACTATTGCCCATATATGGAAATTGGCTCCAGCACTCGTTCAGCCCACTACTAATAGACAGTCTATGTTTTAACAAAAGGAAAGATAATAACTTGCCCATATCTTTCACAAACCCTTTGGCACGTCAGTCTCATCAAGCTTTTTAAATGCTTTTGGTCAGACATTTAGAAAGTTAATCAGAATCAGAATCCTTATTATTGCCATGTAAGTACAGGAACTCACAGACAAGGAAATAGCTTTGGCTTGGTGTCAAAAAACAGAGATAAAGAATGTTAAATATATCTTCTTTATGTTTAATACGTAAGATTTTTACTTGTTAGATGAGCACTTTAAGCTTTTTCAGACCCGTAAAGAGAAGCTTTGGCATACTGCATCTTTCTACTCTTACTTCCACATTGATGACCGAGTTGAACTGATTCAGGCAGTTTTGAGCAATGTTTGTTATACTGCGTTAGAAAAAGTATTTCTTCGACTCATACCAAAACCTATTGTTACATAAAAATCACATCATAGGCACAAATGTGAAAAGAATACCCCCTTCACCGACTGATACTTTCAACAGCCTGACCATAAAGAGGTGGGGGACATTTTTGGCACGGACGTCTGCAGATGGCTATTGTAATAAATGCTCAAGGCCATATTGCGTGCCCTACTCTCCATAGGACTCATGGAGGTGAGAGGACACTGAGCCACACGCGACCTTTCCATCCTAAACACATCAGCAGGCAGTACTGATGATTGTGGCCTTGTATGAAAACTGTCACTGAGACAATACGTTTACATTTTGGAAAACAACATTTACATTTTGACTGAAGTCCGGTACTGAGCCTGTCCCTCTCATCTGTTTTATTTGTCAAACAGACAGAGGGGTGCGAGCGATCGAGGGGGGCATCACTGATCCTCTGGCTGCCTAGCAACCGGAGCAGAGATGCAGAGTTGAGGCTGCCAGCGCTGGTCCTGGATCATATTACACTGAGACAGCATATAGACAAGGACCAGAGACTCAGGAGCAAGGGGGAGGGACAGGAGCAAAATTATAAAAGAAAAGACTGTCAATAAATATTTACAAAGAAGCACGTGAAATATAGAAAACACATGATTTATTTTGCTCAACTATAATATCATTGATAAGTATTCCATTTAAAAAATGTTATGTTATTTGACAAAGGGAAGCAGATAAATTGATCGATAATTGATTAATAACAGAAAGAGGACAAAGGCCTGTTGATCTAATACAGTGGGGTTTTACACATGTGTTTAATGGTGGGATAAAGCAGCGCACCCAGAAGAAAGCTACATACGTAGATACAAGGAGAATATGCAGGAGGTGGAATCAACCCTTGCACCTTCTTGCTGTGAAGCACAAGTGCTTACCACTTTGCCACATTAAATGTATGAAAAAAGGATAGTTATCAAATTGTAACAAAAATATTTATTTAAAATGGTTTAATAATAGAAAAAAGCCAAACGACCAAAAATTCTGCTTCCAAAACAGCAGTGTGTTATTTATAAAGGTTGCATTTTTTCTTCTTACCTTGTGAGAAGAAAAAAATGCAGAATCATTCAAGTATGCATGAATCAAAATAAACACTTCAGTGTGCTGAAGGACATCCATTATATCATCATTTCAAGCATAAATCGGCTTTAACATACTAAATTAGTGTGTGAATGTTTTTCCATTGGCTGGGATTATGGTTGTGTGCGCCCCAAAGAGCATCCACAGTCTGGTCCTGTGCTCTGTTACTGAGGCACGCCATCTGCTTGAGCGCAGCTTCAGGTGGATCTCTCTACACTCGCCACCACCTCGGAGCAAAAATCTGTTCATTCATCAACATATCTGTGGGTGCGAAGCCAAAGTACAAACGTTATGACATGAAAAATGCAACACCATTAGAAGAATGATAGTAGAAGCTATAAACTAAAGCTTTTTGTGTTGTATGGTACATGTTTTTTGTCCCATATAAAAAGTCCTGTAAAAAGACATACTACAAAGAGCCTTGTGAGTCACTATTTTATGCTTTGAGCTGGGAGCTGATTGGCTGAGTGAGGGAGGTGGATTTTATAACATAGCTCTACTGTATATTTTGGAGTTTGAAAATACCGTACCGTAGCTTTCAGTGTGGAACATGTATTCCAGTGTTCCTAAATGAAACCAAATCATTACATCTATCAAATAAATCAATTATTGTGAATCTTTATGAATACATTCATCAGGAACAGTTAACACCCCGCCACAGATGTACAGATTGTATAATTCTGTAAAATCTGCTTGGAAATTACATTAAGAATAATTAGGCTGCTCATGCTTATTCTTATTTTCAATAAAGCAGCTGGCGGCAATTAAAGTGCCTTTAATGATACTTTTGCGCCAGAAAACCACTAGAACACAATGCCTCTGGGGTTATAGCTTTATGGTGCTAACATAATGAACTGAAATATGCCGGTGCAAAGGTCGATGCAAACGGCTCTCCAAGCACATGCTACAGTGTGTGCCAAAGGAATGCCCTCTCTGCTCAGCTCTTAATGTAACATGCCATCTACTCTAACACCATCTTATCATTTCAGAAGCAGGCTACGCGGTGTATTATGTAATGGAAACATAACTGACCTGGTCCCTCTGGCATATCATTTTCTCTACAGTTACGCTCCTAATGCAGGTGAGGGGAGACACGGCTTCATTCTCAATGTTTATAATGCTGTTATCCTCAAACGTTATGTGCTGCTGGGCTTTATATTTGCTTTGCTTCACTTCACTGCGAAACTCTATCTATTGTAATCGATGTCAGGGATGAATCCGGGCATTAACAGAGGGTAAACTTACACCATGCCTCGCTGAGCATTTGATAAACATAATCTGTACCATGCACTGTCACTGCAGGTGTAAAGCCATAACTCCTTCCCCTCATTCAGATTTCTTGAAACTCTTCTCATTTCAATAATCACAATCACAGCTGCCAATTACTGTAACTCTGCAACTTCACTTTGAGGGGGAAACTCAAGTTGTGCTAGTGCTTACAATCTTGCTGTCTCCTGTGCACCAGTGCATGTGTGCAGAGATAACCCACTTTTTATATTCACAACGGGGCACAATCCTCCATAAAACAAAGTGTTTGTTTCAACCAAGAATTTAGGCCAAACAATGGTGAAAGGTACATTACGTAAGGAGCATTTTAATATTCTGTTTATAACTACTATGACTCCCGATCGAGAAATAGGAACAGCTGCTTAAAAAGTGATGATTTAAAAACCAAATTAGCATAGCTACTTAAATGGGGTTTTTTAACAATTATAACAGATTTAGATTTAGATTTATTAAGGGAAAACCCCTTGAGATGCAGCATCTCATTTTCGAGAGGGTCTCATGAACATAAAACAAACAAACACAATACATATAATACAGTACATACAAACAATTGACATTTATACATTTAACACACACAGGTTTGCTCCCTCAGATCCAACTCCACCTCCTACTATAAGAACACATATTAAACAGGTGTAATTTCATCAACTTAAAGGTACAATAGCGAGATGTAGGTATAGCCAGTTTAAAGCTGATTTTTATTCATGAAATTTAGATTATGTCCTGTAAAAATAGTAGGGCTGGTATCTTTCAGAGATAGTCAACATGCATATCTCAATACGCATGACAAACGTCTCTTTTCTGATTCAGAAAAGCCCTATTTATACAATGTATATATTTTTATTATTGTATAATGAAAAGATAATTATTATTATCTTTTTCTATCG